ACGTTACAATACAGGTAGGTATATTCCTTCTGTCCATACAACACGTTACAATACAGGAAGGTATATTCCTTCTGTCCATACAACACGTTACAATACAGGAAGGTATATTCCTTCTGTCCATACAACACGTTACAATACAGGAAGGTATATTCCTTCTGTCCATACAACACGTTACAATACAGGAAGGTATAATTCCTTCTGTCCATACAACACGTTACAATACAGGAAGGTATATTCCTTCTGTCCATACAACACGTTACAATACAGGAAGGTATATTCCTTCTGTCCATACAACACGTTACAATACAGGAAGGTATATTCCTTCTGTCCATACAACACGTTACAATACAGGAAGGTATATTCCTTCTGTCCATACAACACGTTACAATACAGGTAGGTATATTCCTTCTGTCCATACAACACGTTACAATACAGGTAGGTATATTCCTTCTGTCCATACAACACGTTACAATACAGGTAGGTATATTCCTTCTATTCATACAAGTAAACGTCTGAGACCTGCATCACTTTGGGCTTTCCTCTCACAATAAGCTGATACGCCGTGATATAACTGGATTATTGTTAAAAGCTGCGTTAAACCCAATTCACCCACTCACTCTATCCATACAACACGTTACAATACAGGTAGGCATTGTCCTTCTCTCCATACACCACGTTACAATACAGGTAGGCATTGTCCTTCTCTCCATACACCACGTTACGATACAGGTAGGTATATTCCTTCTCTCCATACACCACGTTACAATACAGGGAGGCATTGTCCTTCAATCCATACACCACGTTACAATACAGGTAGGCATTACAGATACAGCATGTCACCATATAGGTAGATATCTTCATTATATCCATACAAAATGTTACCATATAGGTAGGTATATTCCTTCTCTCCATACACCACGTTACAATACAGGTAGGTATATTCCTTCTCTCCATACAACACGTTACAATACAGGTAGGTATATTCCTTCTGTCCATACACCACGTTACAATACAGGTAGGTATATTCCTTCTCTCCATCCAACACGTTACAATACAGGTAGGTATTGTCCTTCTCTCCATACACCACGTTACAATACAGGTAGGTATATTCCTTCTGTCCATACACCACGTTACAATACAGGTAGGCATATTCCTTCTCTCCATAGACCACGTTACAATACAGGTAGGTATACTCCTTCTCTCCATCCAACACGTTACAATACAGGTAGGTATATTCCTTCTGTCCATACACCACGTTACAATACAGGTAGGTATATTCCTTCTGTCCATACACCACGTTACAATACAGGTAGGTATTTTCCTTCTCTCCATACACCACGTTACAATACAGGTAGGTATTGTCCTTCTCTTCATACACCACGTTACAATACAGGGAGGCATTGTCCTTCTATCCATACAACACGTTACAATACAGGTAGGCATTACAGATACAGCATGTTACCATATAGGTAGATATTTTCATTATATCCATACAACATGTTACCATATAGGTGGATATCTTCATTATATCCATACAACATGTTACCATATAGGTGGATATCTTCATTATATCCATACAACATGTTATCATATAGTTAGATATCTTCATTATATCCATACAGCATGTTATCATATAGGTAGATTTCTTCATTATACCCACACAGCATGTTATCATATAGGTAGATATCTTCATTATATCCATACAACATGTTATCATATAGGTAGATATCTTCATTATATCCATACAGCAGGTTATCGTATAGGTAGATATCTTCATTATATCCATACAATATGTTATCATATAGGTAGATATCTTCATTATATTCATAAAGCATGTTATCATATAGGTAGATATCTTCATTATATCCATACAACATGTTACCATATAGGTAGATATCTTCATTATAAACATACAGCATGTTATCATATAGGTAGATATCTTCATTATACCCATACAACATGTTACCATAAAAGTGGATATCTTCATTATATTCATACAGCATGTTATCATATAGGTGGATATCTTCATTATATCCATACAGCATGTTATCATATAGGTAGATATCTTCATTATATCCATACAACATGTTATCATATAGGTAGATATCTTCATTATATCCATACAACATGTTATCAAATAGGTGGATATCTTCATTATATCCATACAGCATGTTATCGTATAGGTAGATATCTTCATTATATCCATACAACATGTTATCATATAGGTAGATATCTTCATTATATCCATACAGCATGTTATCAAATAGGTGGATATCTTCATTATATCCATACAGCATGTTATCGTATAGGTAGATATCGTCATTATATCCAAACAACATGTTACCATATAGGTGGATATCTTCATTATATCCATACAACATGTTATCATATAGGCGGATATCTTCATTATATCCATACAGCATGTTATCATATAGGTAGATATCTTCATTATATCCAAACAACATGTTATCATATAGGTAGATATCTTCATTATATCCAAACAACATGTTATCATATAGGTGGATATCTTCATTATATCCATACAGCATGTTATCATATAGGTAGATATCTTCATTATATCCATACAACATGTAATCATATAAGTAGATATCTCCACAATCTCATTAAAATCAGATCTTTGTTCTCGCTATCACTAACCAAAGATCTGAGGACATCGCATTACGGGTCACGTCAGAACGACCTTTCATTCGACAAATCAGAGCATCGCTTACCAGATCATGAAAGTGACAGTCGGAATGTGTTTTCTAATCAAGCAACCTCGAAAACGTCAACACGGGGTATTCCGAACGACAGTTACGACACTATCTCTCGCTTCAGTGGGATAAACATTTGAACGGAGGAGGCGTTGAACAGTGTGTGGGAAGCACTGCTATACAATCTCAACCATATATTAGACATTCCAGAATGTTCGTTTGGTCAGTTTTCAAAATTTTAATCGAGAAGAGTGTCAACATATTTTTCAAGCGTAGTCTGAAATGGAAGTCGCCTGGTTGAAAAGAGTGCCGTAAAGCTCGAGAAAGCTGCTTTCTAACTGGTTGACGTTGGCTTCTTGTTAGTCATTTCAGTGGTCGGTCAAAGTTCGCGAAAGGTCGTTCTGACGTGACCCATAATGGGATGTCCTCAGATCTTTGTAAAGCGGCAGCGATAACTAAGATCTGATTTTAGTGAGATTGATATCTTCATTATATCCATACAGCATGTTACCATAAAGTTAGATATCTTCATTATATTCATAAAGCATGTTATCAAATAGGTAGATATCTTCATTATATTCATACATCATGTTATCATACAGGTAGATATCCTCATTATATTCATACAGCATGTTATCAAATAGGTAGATATCTTCATTATATCCATACAACATGTTATGATATAGGTAGATATCTTCATTATATTCATACAGCATGTTATCATATAGGTAGATATCTTCAATATATTCGTACAGCATGTTATCATATACATGTAGGTAGATATCTTCATTATATCCATACAGCATGTTATCATATAGGTAGATATCTTCATTATATTCATACAGCATGTTATCATATAGGTAGATATCTTCATTATATTCATACAGCATGTTATCAAATAGGTAGATATCTTCATTATATTCATACAGCATGTTATCAAATAGGTAGGTATCTTCATTATATCCATACAGCCTAATAATAATGATAACTCGTGAGGGTGTTGGAAAGAAATATTCCGTTACTGAAAATGCTTGAAAAAAATAATTGGTCCTCAGGTGTATAATGAAATAACCGAAATCATTGATATATTGAAAATATGGATCAGATAGAAAAAAGGCGGCTTACATAAGAAAGTGTAATCTCTCTTACAGGTCACATTAGGTATATTTAATACAAATTTGATCTTCATTCCACTCTTCGCCTTCTCTAGCCTATACTCATCCTATTTTACGGTGGCCCATAAGGGACATGGAGTCTGTTTATCCATATTTTGATATTTCACGTACTGTTATCGTAACCTTTTGCAAATTAACACGATTTGTCATACAAATATGTGATAAATCATGTATAAAAACAACTGAAAACATGGAAAATGTACTTTCAAGTAGCTATTGAGTCGCTGAAATGTGATGCGAAATTGTCAAAAACTAAAATGGAAATGTCAAAAACCAAAACGAAAATGTCAAAAACAAAAGCGAAAATGTCAAAAACTAAAATGAAATTACAGAAAACTATTTCCGACGCGGTGATAATATTTCCACCGCGGTAGAAATAGTTTTCATCGCGGTGGTAATATTATCACCGCGGTGGAAATAGTTTTGTGTATTTTCATTTTAGTTTTTGACATTTTCGCTTTTGTTTTTGACATTTTCATTTTAGTTTTTGACATTTTCGTTTTTGTTTTTTGACATTTTCATTTTAGTTTTTGACATTTTCGTTTCACTTTTCAGCGATTCAATATCTTCTTTACACATGATTTATCACATATTTGTAAGACAAAACGTGTTAATTTGCAAAAGGTAACGATAAAAGTAAGTGAAATATTAAAATATGGAAAAACAGACTCCATGTCCCTTATGGGCCACCGTACTATTTAGCTCTTTAGATTAATATTTTCTAAATTATATAAATAATAAGAACAAGTTATTAATGTGAATTCATAAGAAAACGACCTTCATGCTCGACGGGTATTTTTTATTTTTATTCAAACGTTTACAAAAACTATATTTCAGGGACTATATGTTAGTCTAAAGAACGTGCTGCCTTGTGAATTCATTAGCAAACAAATGGGGTCGGCCACTTAACTATAGGTATGTTGTCAGGATGGGTACACGTAGAGTGAGCCTACATTGACATAACCTCAAGGTTTAATTGGGACAATCAGCTCTCAATTAGACCCTGACGTCACAAGGCAAGAGGAAGATCCACTGCTAGGGCAGATTTATGACCCCGCACCTCGACAGCCGTGGATATAACCCGAGTCCGGTCAGTGGTCAGCCATTCTCACTCGGTCAGTCAGTCCAAAATAACCATGGTCCATCAACTCGTCGTCGCTGTGTGTGTGGTGTTAGGGCTCGCCTCTCACCAGGTGTGTGCTCAGTGGTGGGGCATTGGTCAAGGTCAGGGTCAAGGTCAGGGTATGGGTCAACTTGGAGGATTAGGTGGCGGTGCGCTTGGCATGGGACAAGGTCAAGGTCAAGCTGGAGGGTGGGGGAACAATCTCTTCCAACCGTTGAGGCCCAGTATGCAAGACAACACCCTGTACCAGACCTGTATCGCCAAGAACTCCAACGGCGATGACATGAGGGTCACCTTCAGCCTTGGCAACAACAACAACAACTTCAACAACCCCATGTTTAACCGATTCGGTGGAGCCCGTAGCCTACGTCTCTCAGCTGTCATCGCTTCCAACCCTGCTTCAACTCTTCAAGGTCAGTTCCAGTTGGTCGTCACTGAATTCTCCCGCACTGAAGAAGTGTGTTCCAGTCGTGCTCTCGGCGACATCCTGACCGACCGTACCTGGTGGAGCCAGTCCCGTACTCCCCGCGGCATCGTTGGAACCCCCGTCACCATCTACCAGGGACAGACCGCCACCTCTTCTGAGACCGTGGAGAACCTGTCCTTCGAGGAGCTGACCGGCCGTGGACTGGCTCTGTGTCCCTCTCACCAGATCTCTGGCTCCACCTGCATGGACGTCATCCCTCTGTGCTGCAAGATCGGCTTCGACAGTCAGCCTGCTACCACCTCTTTCACAGCCCAGAACCAGCTCTTCGGCCAGGGACTTCTCGGCATGCAGAACCCAGGTAGCAACAACGGTTTGGGAGGTGGATTCAACCAGAGAATGGGCGGCGGACAGTCTCAGGGAATGAACCAGGGACTCCCTTCAGGACTGAACGGAGGATTTGGGCAAGGTGGACTCCCCTCAAACAACGCTGGCTCCCAAAATATGCGACTCTCATTCTAGACTAGACTTATGTTGACTAGTCAATAGACTTTCAATAACTTTCAATATTTATCATTCATGTACCATATTAATTTATTATCACTCACTACGAATTCTTTCATGTCACAAGAAATTTATAACCGATAGTGAGTTGATGAGCCCATAATCATTGTGTGTGTGGACAGATTGTGTGTGCAACATATTTTCTAATAAAAAGACTTCATTAAAGTTGTTTTATGTTCAATTTACGTATTATCCCCAGACATGGGATTTTGTTACTTGTCCCTTCTCTCTCTCATGCAGATGGAATTGTGTCAAACCGCTGGGCGCGTCTGTCAAAGTACATGTTCACTTTGTTTACGGATCCGTCGACCTAAAACAGACAGACAGACAGACAGATTTATTTGTATTAAGGCCATTTGCCCCAATTGCCATTTGACCCATTTTATAACACTGGTATGGGTAGCTGTTTGGGCTCATTTGCAAAATCTTAAACCAATATTTAATGTATTTTACATGATAAATAGTATGAAGTGGATACCTGCCACATTCACCATAGGCTACTGCATTTGCAGTTCTGTAGTCCGTGTGGAGTAAAATTTTACAAAATTTGCGGTGAACAATTTCAATCGTATTCCATTTTTGGTATCCCCAAATCTCAGCATCATACAATAATATTGGTACAATTTTTTTATCAAATATAAAGAATGCTTCCGTAACCGAAATGTCATCACGTCGTATTAAAGTGCTTTGTTTGCTTGCTCGCATAAAGTTTTACAGGCCTTAGTCCAAATTAATTTGGGAATGAAAATAGGTCCCAAATATTTATAGGAATTAACCGTTTTCATCCGTTCACCGTTATAATATCATTTCAAATTTTTTGACAAGGGTGCTCCCATTTTAAACACAATAATTTTACTTATCTCAGTATTAATATCCATACCCCATTTATAAGAGTATAAATATAATTCATCAAGACGTTTTTGTAATTTTAATACACTGTCTGCAACAAGTATTAAATCGTCGGCAAACAATAGGGCAATTATATTTAACATTTCCTCTGAGATAAAAACACCATCCTGGAATTTACTTTCCAAAAATATAACTAATTCGTTGATAAATAAAGAAAACAGTACTGGACTAAGAGTACAACCTTGTCTTACCCCACATGAACCATCAAAATACTCAGTAATTTTCTTGCCATAATCGTATGTTACAGTTGCTTTAACATGATAATACATACTCTGGGTAATACATAAAAACTTGCCATGAATACAATTTTGCAATAAAATACACATTAACTTACTCCTATTAGCCATATCAAATGCTTTTCTAAAATCAATGAAAGCGCAATATACTTTTCCTTTTTTTGCGAGTGATATACTTTTGTATAATAGTTTGTAAATTGAAAATGTTATCAATAGTGGTATGTTCTTTCTTAGACCCCCCTTGATATTCACCAATTATACCTCAAAACATAAGAAAACATTTTACCCATTATATCACTTGTACTACCTTTTTTATGCAGTGGCATTATTATTCCCGTTGACCATAATTTTGGGTAATGTCCACTGGACAACACTGCATTAAACAAAATGACAAGATATGGAGTTAATACATTTTCAACAGATTTGTACAATTCTGGTGGGTGTCCATCATCACCAGGTGATTTTCCACACTTTAAATGGTGAAGAGCGTTTACAACATCTTGTTCGATAAAATCACACGATAAAATAGCATCTTGATTTTGACAGTCTGGGCATAAGCTACCATTATGATATTGAAGAAACTCACTAACTTCAGTTGAGAAATTCTTATCTCCTATTGACACTGGATTAAGTAATTCCTTAAATAAATCTACCCAAGTTGCAGGTGCGATGCCAGTGTCCTGCGAGCTTGAGGTGATATACCGTTACACAAGTCTCCAAAATGTTGAACAGTTACTAGCATTCGCAGCATTAACTAATGCTTTTGTAATGCTCTGCTTAAAATAAGTCTGTTTTTGTTTACATAAAGATTTAAATTTGTTTCTAATGTTCTTGTATAAGTTATAGTTTTCCGGAGAAGACACCTTTCTGAATGTATTCAAGAGTTTAAACTTTTCTCTCTTCAGGTGTTCACACTCTTCATCAAACCATTCTGGTTGTTTCTTTAAGCCTATATAATTAGACCTCTTTACTTTCATATTCCTTCCACAGTATTGCATTATATGCTGTAACTTCTCTGCGGCTTTATCAACATCAATTTCCACACAGGCAATAAAATTATTCATATAGTCTTCACTCTTATCCACGTTCCATGTATATCTACCCCTGTCCTCACCTAGGCTGTAATCCTGTTCTAGAGTGTCTACTACAATAAATAATGATGAGAAATAACAAATATGGGAAGATGGTCAGACTCAGTGCGACTTATAACTTTAAAGTCCTCTACATTCTTGTAAATGGATGCTGACACACACATATAACCTGGTGAGCTAACACTTGTTGCTCTAGTATAGGTATAATCCCCTTCATCAGAAAACCTGCCATTTAGTAAATATAAACCAAACGTCTCAGAAATCTTTCCCATCATTGTCAACGACTTGGTCCTTGTTCTTTCGCTCTTCAGGGCTGACATTCTGTTCATACACAATATCATCCATTGGTAGATGATCAACTGCATCAAAACCAATATAATCGAAATCGGTTCCAGTTCTACTATTGAAGTCTCCACACAAGATGAAGTTATTTTCCGGGATTTCGTCTATGAGCACTGCAAGACGGTAAGTAATTCCTTAAATTAATCTACCCAAGTTGCAGGTGCGATGCCAGTGTCCTGCGAGCTTGAGGTGATATACCGTTACACAAGTCTCCAAAATGTTGAACAGTTACCTGTCCTTCGAGGAGCTGACCGGCCGTGGACTGGCTCTGTGTCCCTCTCACCAGATCTCTGGCTCCACCTGCATGGACGTCATCCCCCTGTGCTGCAAGATCGGCTTCGACAGTCAGCCTGCTACCACCTCTTTCACAGCCCAGAACCAGCTCTTCGGCCAGGGACTTCTGGGGAAGCAGAACCCAGGTAGCAACAACGGTTTGGGAGGTGGAATCAACCAGAGAATGGGCGGCGGACAGTCTCAGGGAATGAACCAGGGACTCCCTTCAGGACTGAACGGAGGATTTGGGCAAGGTGGACTTCCCTCAAACAACGCTGGCTCCCCAAACATGCGACTCTCATTCTTCTTTCTTCAGAAAATCCAAACATCAAACTTCGCAATGCACCTCGCCTATTGGTATTGGTAAAGTTTTCACCAAGTTCGAAAAGAAAATATGTAGAAGTTTTCAAATTATAGGTCACACAAAAAATGTCCTCGGAAGGACGACCGAAATGACGGATGGAATTTCTTGGTATAACTATATACCCCGCCCTTTTAGGTCTGGGGTATAAAATGTTTAACTTGAAAACGGAAACAATACAGAAATGTAAAACTTAGTTAGCATATCATTGGGTCGGCGATTTTGAACCACTCTTTTCAGATGTTAATCCAGGACTAACACTGACCATTGATTTGTCACTTCATACTACCTACACTGAAATTTCTGATGACACAGACGCAGAAAACGTGGGGGTAAAAAACAGGTAGTGAAATAAGGTTCAACCAAAAGCTTGTGGTAAGACGACCGACGGGATCGGGTGGCCAGGCTCGCCGACTTGGTTGATGCATATCATTGTATCCCAATTGCGTGGAGTGGATCGATGCTCACTGGATTGTCTGGTACAGACTCGATTACTTACAGACCGCCGTCATATAGCTGGAATATTGCTGAGTGCGGCGTTAAACAACAAACAAACTAAACCAAATCTGTATACTTGCACGAGTCTTGCCTTAGGGCAATAATTATTAGTTTAAATAATATTATCTAAATTATATAAATAATAAGAAAATAAGAAAACGTATGAAGGGTCGACCTTCATGCTCGACGGGTATTCTATTATTTTTATTCAAACGTATACAAAAACTATATTTCAGGGACTATATGTTAGTCTAAAGAAAGTGCTGCCTTGTGAATTCATTAGCAAACAAATGGGGTCGGCCACTTAACTATAGGTATGTTGTAAGGAAGGGTACAAGTAGAGTGAGCCTACATTAACATAACCTCAAGGCTTAATTGGGACAATCATCTGGTAATTAGGTTCTGACGTCACGGAGGAAAGAGGAAGACCCACACCTAGGACATATTTATGACCCCGCACCTCGACAGCCGTGGATATAACCCGAGTCCGATCAGTGGTCAGCCATTCTCACTTGGTCAGTCAGTCCAGAATAACCATGGTCCATCAACTCGTCGTCGCTGTGTGTGTGGTGTTAGGGCTCGCCTCTCACCAGGTGTGTGCTCAGTGGTGGGGCATGGGTCAAGGTCAGGGTCAAGGTCAAGGTCAGGGTATGGGTCAATTTGGAGGATTAGGTGGCGGTGCGCTTGGCATGGGACAAGGTCAAGGTCAAGCTGGAGGGTGGGGAAACAATCTCTTCCAACCGTTGAGGCCCAGTATGCAAGACAACACCCTGTACCAGACCTGTGTCGCCAAGAACTCCAACGGCGATGACATGAGGGTCACTTTCAGCCTTGGCAACAACAACAACTTCAACAACCCCATGTTTAACCGATTCGGTGGAGCCCGTAGCCTACGTCTCTCAGCTGTCATCGCTTCCAACCCTGCTTCAACTCTCCAAGGTCAGTTCCAGTTGGTCGTCACTGAATTCTCCCGCACTGAAGAAGTGTGTTCGAGCCGTGCTCTCGGCGACATCCTGACCGACCGTACCTGGTGGAGACAGTCCCGTACTCCCCGCGGCATCGTTGGCACCCCCGTCACCATCAACCAGGGACAGACCGCCACCTCCTCTGAGACCGTGGAGAACCTGTCCTTCGAGGAGCTGACCGGCCGTGGACTGGCTTTGTGTCCCTCTCACCAGATCTCTGGCTCCACCTGCATGGACGTCATCCCTCTGTGCTGCAAGATCGGCTTCGACAGTCAACCTGCCACCACCTCTTTCACCTCCCAGAACCAGCTCTTCGGCCAGGGACTTCTCGGTATGCAGAACCCAGGTAGCAACAACGGCTTGGGAGGTGGATTCAATCAAGGAATGGGCGGCGGACAGTCTCAGGGAATGAACCAGGGACTCCCTTCAGGACTGAACGGAGGATTTGGGCAAGGTGGACTCCCCTCAAACAACGCTGGCTCCCAAAACATGCGACTCTCATTCTAGACTAGACTTATGTAGACTAGTCAATAGACTTTCAATAACTTTCAATATTTATTATTCATGTACCATATTAATTTATTGTCAATGAAACGTATCACTCACTACGAATTCTTTCATGTCACAAGAAATTTATTACCGATAGTGAGTTGATGAGCCCATAATCATTGTGTGTGTGGACAGATTGTGTGTGCAACATATTTTCTAATAAAAAGACTTCATTAATGTTGTTTTATGTTCAATTTACGTTTTATCCCCAGATATGAGATTTTGTTACTTGTCCCTTCTCTCTCTCATGCAGATGGAATTGTGTCAAACCGCTGGGTGCGTCTGTCAAAGTACATTTTCACTTTGTTTACGGATCCGTCGACCTAAAACAGACAGACAGACAGATTTATTTGTATTAAGGCCATTTGACCCATTTTATAACAGTGGTATGGATATCTGTTTGGGCTCATTTGCAAAATCTTAGACCATTAGACCATTTTACATAATAAATAGTATGAAATGGATACCTGCCACATTCACCATAGGCTACTGCATTTGCAGTTCTGTAGCCCGTGTGGAGTAAAATTTTACAAAATTTGCGGTGAACAATTTCAATCGTATTCCATTTTTAGTATCCCCAAATCTCAGCACCATACAATAATATTGGTACATTTATTTTCATCAAATATAAAGAATGCTTTCGTAACCGAAATGTCATAACTTCGTATTAATGATTTAACTGACCAAAGTGCTTTGTTGCTTGCTCGCATAAAGTTTTACAGGCCTTAGTCCAAATTAATTTGGGAATGAAAATAAGTCCCAAATTTTTATAGGAATTAACCGTTTTCATCCGTTCACCGTTATAATATCATTTCTAATTTTTTTACAAGGGTGCTCCCATTTTAAACACAATAATTTTACTTTTCTCAGTATTAATATCCATACCCCATTTATAAGAGTATAAATAGAATTCATCAAGACGTTTTTGTAATTTTAATACACTGTCTGCAACAAGTATTAAATCGTCGGCAAACAATAGGGCAATTATATTTCACATTTCCTCTGAGATAAAAACACCATCCTGGAATTTACTTTCCAAAAATATAACTAATTCGTTGATAAATAAAGAAAACAGTACTGGACTAAGAGTACAACCTTGTCTTACCCCACATGAACCATCAAAATACTCAGTAATTTTCTTGCCATAATCGTATGTTACAGTTGCTTCAACATGATTATACATACTCTGGATAATACATAAAAACTTGCCATGTATACAATTTTGCAATAAAATACACATTAACTTACTCCTATTAACCATATCAAGTGCTTTTCTAAAATCAATGAAAGCGCAATATACTTTTCCTTTTTTTGCGAGTGATATACTTTTGTATAATAGCTTGTAAATTGAAAATGTTATTAATAGTGGTATGTTCTTTCTTAGACCCCCCTTGATATTCACCAATTATGCCTCAAAACATAAGAAAACATTTTACCCATTATATTGAGAAGTGATATACCATGAAAGTTATAAGGATCACTTGTACTACCTTTTTTATGCAGTGGCATTATTATTCCCGTTGACCATAATTTTGGGTAATGTCCACTGGACAACACTGCATTAAACAAAATGACAAGATATGGAGTTAATACATTTTCAACAGATTTGTACAATTCTGGTGGGTGTCCATCATCACCAGGTGATTTTCCACACTTTAAATGGTGAAGAGCGTTTACAACATCTTGTTCGATAAAATCACACGATAAAATAGCATCTTGATTTTGACAGTCTGGGCATAAGCTATCATTATGATATTGAAGAAACTCACTAACTTCAGTTGAAAAATTCTTATCCCCTATTGACACTGGATTAAGTAATTCCTTAAATTAACCTACCCAAGTTGCAGGTGCGATGCCAGCGTCCTGCGAGCTTGAGGTGATATACCGTTACACAAGTCTCCAAAATGTTGAACAGTTACTAGCATTCGCAGCATTCATTAATGCTTTTGTAATGCTCTGCTTAAAATAAGTCTGTTTTTGTTTACATGAAGATTTAAATTTGTTTCTAATGTTCTTGTATAAGTTATAGTTTTCCGGAGAAGACACCTTTCTGAATGTATTCAAGAGTTTAAACTTTTCTCTCTTCAGGTGTTCACACTCTTCATCAAACCATTCTGGTTGTTTCTTTAAGCCTATATAATTAGACCTCTTTACTTTCATATTCCTTCCACAGTATTGCATTATATGCTGTAACTTCTCTGCGGCTTTATCAACATCAATTTCCACACAGGTAATAAAATAATTAATATAGTCTTCACTCTTATCCGCATTCCATGTATATCTACCCCTGTCCTCACCTAGGCTGTAATCCTGTTCTAGAGTGTCTACTACATTAAACAATGATGAGAAAGAAGCAAATATGGGAGGATGGTCTGACTCAGTGCGACTTATAACTTTAAAGTCCTCTACATACTTGTAAATGGATGCTGACACACAAATATAACCTGGTGAGCTAACCTAATCAGAAAACCTGCCATTTAGTAAATATAAACCAAACGTCTAAGAAATCTTTCCCATAATTGTTAACGACTTGGTCCTTGTTCTTTTCGCTCTTCAGGGCTGTCATTCTGTTCATACACAATATCATCCATTGGTAGATGATCAACTGCATCAAAACCAATATAATCGAAATCGGTTCCAGTTCTACTATTAAAGTTACCGAACAAGATGAAGTCATTTTCCGGGATTTCGTCTATGAGCACTGCAAGAAAAGTTTCTAAAACTTCAATGCCCTCAGTAGACTAACATCTAGTCTCTGAAATGAACATATCGTGCAGAAAAAACAGTTGTTCAGTTATCTTAATAAAAAAATATAACAAAAGGGAGCCCAGTGACTCTCTTCATTTTCAGATACTGCAGTAATCTAGACTTGCCAAACATTATAGACTTGCATGGGCTGTATTTGATATATATTTGTATCAGGGTCTGTAAGACAGACTATGCCCTCCGGTACACACAGGCAACTATTAGCCTTCTACCAGTAATGGATACATCACTGGATTCAAGAAAAACACAGTCAACCCATTCGTCATGTATCCTTGCAAATACGATGAATGTTGATCACTAACATATACCGCGACACCTCCACTGTATCGACCTGCCTTCTTCTCTTTAGGTCGAACTGACTGAAATGAAATGAAATCAGGAAAAACAAACTTAAAGTCATCTAAACATTTTGCCCACGTGTCGGTTAAACAGATAATATTCTGCTTACACACGAAGTCAAAGAAGACATTATTAAACACAGAAAGTAATACCAAAAAATAAATGAAACAAGACTATTTAAGGTGACCAGGGCTCACTAATACACATGGCTTCGAGTTCAACATATTTCTAAGTTCAAAACATGTAAAAAGCAATATTTTCTAAGAAAATCCACTTAGCAAAATCAAACTCTGAACTGCATCTCTCCCATTGCGTCTAGAAAATGTACCTCCATTTGGAAAAGAATCCATGAAGAAGTGTTTAAGTTATGGGTCGCACAAATATTATAGTAAAAAAATATTCAAAAGTTCAAAACATGAAAATAAATATATATATTTTCAGAAAATACACACTGTACCCTAACTTTGAAATGAAATCATGCTGTAGTTTCCGAATTATGGGTCTCACGAATGTTTGGTAAAAATATTCTAAGTAAAAAAGTGAAAAACAAATGTATTTTCTTTCTTCAGAAAATTCAAACATCAAACTTCGCAATGCACCTCGCCTATTGGTATTGGTAAAGTGTTCACCAAGTTCGAAAAGAAAATATGTAGAAGTTTTCAAATAATAGGTCACACAAAAATTGTCCTCGGAAGGACGACCGGAATGACGGATGGAATTTCTTGGTATAACTATATACCCCGCCCTTTTAGGTCTGGGGTATAAAATGTTTAACTTGAAAACGGAAACAATACAGAAATGTAAAACTTTGGTTCGAAATTCAAAATATACTGAATTATGGCCAGATACAGCATATGAAAGAAATGCCGCGGGTTGGGGTCAAGTTAGCATATCATTGGGTCGGCGATTTTGATCCACTCTTTTCAGATGTTAATCCAGGACTAACACTGACCATTGATTTGTCACTTCATACTACCTACACTGAGATTTCTGATAACAGACACAGAAAACGTGGGGGTAAAAACAGGAAGTGAAATAAAAATCTCACTGAGAACTTTTGATATAGTTAAGATCCATGAAAACTGGTCAGCATATCTAATCACTCAGATGTGCGTAAACAAAGTGGTATTATTGGCCACAGTACCAATGTTAATTGCTAAAAATACCTTTGGTGAATATACAATTAACAAATCACAAGCAGCTAAAGGGAAGAAAAGGGAAACCATTGTTTGTAGCAGAGTGTAAAACATCTCGGAGAAAATATTACTGAGCTGAGAGAGCAGATTATATCAATAGCACAAAGGTGAACAAAATGGGCCTCAAGAATGCTGGTATATCATATAAGAAAACTAGAGTGAAACATAGCAATATCTTTAGAGCTAAATTACAACACGGAAACAGCATATTTTAATTGTTCAAAAGGTGTAAGGTAAAGCGAAATTCTTTCTCCCCTACTGTTGTCATTATTTTTAAGGGGGCACGGGTGGCCCAGTCGTCTATGGCGCCACGATTCGTTGTGCAGAGTTGCGTCCCTTGGGCATGCCAGAAACCTATGATTGTGGGTTCGAATCCCGGTTCGCCCCGATTATGTTTGTAGGTTTGTCAGCACCATACCCGTGCTCGTGGCTTTCACCGAGTGGTAAACGTCTGAGACTTGCATCACTTCGGGCTTTCCTCCCACATTAAACTGACACGCCGTGATATAACTGGAATACTGTTAAAAGCGGCTTTAAACCCAACGCACTGACTCATTATTTTTAATGACCTTGAACAATACGTCACTTTCAGTAACTATGATGGGATTATACTCAACGATGACCATATATCTATCTACCTGAAGCTGTTCGCCTTACGTAATGCCGAGGATACAGAGTTATTAGCGTCTTCAGGATGATCTACAGAAAGAACTGGATATTTTAGTGATTATTTAAATCAATGGCAACAAAAAAATAATGTTGAAGTCCTCATATTTAATGTTAACAAACGATAATATAGTTATACATTAGTATTATCAGATTTTTGCTTAGAAAATGTAAATATATATATATATATATATACCTTGGTATTGTATT